GACATACCTGATGAGATTGAGCAGGTGGATGACAGAACATGGTCTGGGAGAGAAAGCAGAGGGAAGGAGCTTGCTGAGAGCTGCAAAGGATAGAGAGAGGTGGAGAGATATGATTGCCTACGTCCTGAAAGGACATGGCACATAAAAAGAAAGAATATGTGCATGCTGATGTGCATACACAAGTAAGCAAATAAATAATTACCAAATTTTGCCAAGAGGTGTAGACATAATAGTGCTCGATGTGGTTAGACAGAGCTAAAAATATATATTAATAAATATACATATACCGACATTTGGTGTGCTACTTAAGTTTCATTGGTTATTGGTTAAGATATAGCTTGTTTATATATATATATATATATATATATATATATATATATATATATATATATATATATATATATATATATATATATATATATATATATATATATATATATATATATATATATATATATATATATATATATAAGGTAAATGATCAGAGTTGAATCAGACAAAGGAAACAGTAGTATTAAAAAGTGTGTGTGTATATATATATATATATATATAGATATATAGATAGATAGATAGATAGATAGATAGACAGACAGACAGATAACAATATATATTTTTATTTATCAAGAACAGTATTGGAAATTGTATGATAAAGTGTAAAAGTTTACTTGTGACGTGTTTCATCATAAATTTGTTATGTTAGCAGGATTACATACACATGCACATGACAGAAGAGTGCTGGGAATTTTAGTTCTACCAACATAACAAATTTAATCCAATGAAGTCCTGAAGGACAAAACATGTCACAAGCAAACTTTCCCACTTTGTCATACAACTTCCTATATATATATATATATATATATATATATATATATATATATATATATATATATATATATATTCGAAATTAAAAAAATGAATGTAAATAACTATATTAACAGAGGATGGAAAGTGCAACAGTGAAATATAAAGGCACATTGGGATAGTGAAAGATGCCTTCCAAAAGTTAAGCAAAGTATTAAGAAACAGGAAAATTTCATTAAAAACAAAGAAAAGTGTACTGAAATGTCACATAATTTCAGACCCCCAAGATGGCAGTGAACATTGAACAATTTCCTTTTAGATGAAGAAGAGGCTTGAAGCGACAAAAATATGCTTCTAAAGAAAGATGCTGATACTACCATGTATTGAACATGTGAGCAACAACAAAGTTTGAGAAAATGAAAGCAAAATGGACATTTATACTTAGCATCAGAAAGAGATAATTGAAATTTCTAGGGCACATAATGAAGAAAGAGGGCTTGGAAAATTGGATACTCACAGGACAGATTGAAAGCAAGAAAGATGGAGTAAAACAACACATAACCTACCTAGTGAGCTTGAGTAAATGGATGATGGAACAGGGTTTAGGAGAGATAACAAAAAGACAAAATTTATTAAGAGCTACAAAGGACAGAAAATTGTGGAGTGCCATTATCACCAACATCTTGAAGGGACAAGGCATATAAAAGAGAAAATTTTTAATATTCATTCATTTACTTTTTTTTAAGGGAAAGTTGATATCTTTTATTTCATTATCTTTTTCAAAAGCTGACTGCTCCCAAATTCTGACCTGAACGCACTTGTTTTATCCAATCAGCCATCACCTTGTAGCACCAAAATGACATTTACAGCAGTGCAACAAATAAAAAGTGTAAACATGGTTGCCGATTCAAAGAGGTGAACATTCAACTATCAACATATTTATCAGGACAACAATGCTACGGAATGTGATTAAAAAAATGTTAATTATACCATATTATGCTACTCGAGTTTACACAAAGACAAAAGTGGGGAAAAAACACTTCTTTACCAGATGAGTTATGTCACTCTACTAATGTAATAGGTACAGGCAAAAAAAAAAATGGATACAATTTCATTATCTACATGAAATAACTTTCTTCCTCCTTTGTTAGAAAACAGCTTTGTCTACTGGATATCAATAAAATCAGCATCATCCCCATTCAGTTTTTTTTTTTATTTATATATTTTCCTTTTGTTAAATTGCGTTATTTCTCTTTCTTCCTTCACAAGAGGATAAAGTGTTTAAGCCTTTTGCAATAAAGGACTTTTTTTTATCTTTAATGATGTTAACCATATACAAGTGTTTACTGAGTAAATGCCATCATAATGAAGGTTTCGTATTTGTTCTTTGAGTTTAGAATGATAAGCTAAAGTATTTAGATATTGACTTCCACTATATGAATAAGAGAAGAGTTTGATTCAAAGGACTATTTTTCTCATGATACAATGAATGTGCTCATTCTGCCTTAATATTTACATTTCTGAATATATTATTCCAATATTAATTGCAGTACAGACAATCATTTAACAATAGATCAATCCCAAAAAGAATAGCCAAATTATCTTTTTATATTCCTTTGTAATGATGCTAAAATCAATTATTTTGTCTTGCTTTCTACAAAGAATAAAAAAATGGAAATAATATTTTTTTTTACTGTGCATCATATTGCAATTTCAAAAGCAGTTTTGTAAAAGACTGATTTGTTTTTTATAGCTTATCAGCCCTTTGCAGGTTATTTAAAGCCAGAAAATATTTTTTCATTGTAAGAATTTTGGGGAGATAATAATGATTTACAGATACAAGTCCTATTAATTAACTCATAACTGGGGGTTGATGAAGCAAATTTATACCTTTCTCAAGGGTATTTGCACATAAGTGAAAATAACAAACCTCAATGGAATTGGAACTCGGCTCTCCAATTTTCAATTCCCTGCCATTTATCCATTACACCACTCACACATCCAAGCTTACAACAGCTGGTATTCCCAAGTAGTCACCATTTAGCTAATGACCAAGTTCAACATTGCTTAACTTCAGTGATTCTATGAGAACCAGTGTAGTTTATAATGGGGAAAAGAAAACAATAGCAAAAGAAAATATAAAATATTTTTCATGAAAAGCAGAGAAAATATGAAAAGATATTAAAAATGCAATCATGGCTCTCCACAATTTCCTGTCCTTTGTAGCTCTTAAAAAATTTTGTCTGCTAAATCTTGTTCTGCCATCCATTTACTCAAGCTCGTTAGATAGGTTATATGCAGTTTTCTACTGTTCCTCTTGCCTTTAATATGTCCTGTGCTCAAGAAATTTCAACTCTTTTCCTGATATCAAATTTTTTCATAAAGAAGTCCTCTTTCCACATTATGTGCTCAAGAAATTTCAACTCTTTTTCCTGATGTTAAGTATAAGGGTAATTTAAACATGAAATAATAAAAAAAATTTCATAAAGAAAATAAGTAAATGAAAATAGAAATTTAAATTTTTTTCTCTCTCTCTCTCATATATATATATATATATATATATATATATATATATATATATATATTATGAAATGGATTAAGTCCAACAATTATTTTTAATATATTTTCTCTTTATACAATATTTTTATAGATATAATTTAAACAAATACTCTGTTTTTTAATTAAATAGTATTAATTACATTTACCAGCCTGAATGTTCAAGAAATTTTGTAGAAAATATGTGATTCTCCAACAGGAATTGAACCTGGAATCCTAATGGGAACCATTATTTGATCTGATGTGCTGTTAAACATTCAACCACAAAGAAGTGTCTGGTTAGCAAAGTCCAAATTACTGTTTATAAAGAAATGTATTAAGTCTGACAATTATTTTTAATATATTTTCTGTTCATAAAACTAATGTAAAAACAGAATATATATATATATATATATATATATATATATATATATATAAGAAAAAAAAAACAAACAAAAATCCTTAAATGCAATTATGTTGTTTAAAATGAATGAAATGTCGATGTCTGACGTTTTGGTTTAATAAACCTTCTTCAGGACAATATTCATTAAAATACAATTCAGTTCAATTTGACAAAGACAATGGACATAAAAAACAAGTCTTATCCAAAACAGATAACTGAAAATTTTAAAATGATCAGCTTTCCGTTTAGCATGGTCACGTTGTCGTCACATAGGCGACGCTTTCAAAACGTATTCCTAAAAAATTTTTGATTATTTTAAATGAAAAAAAAATGAAAAGAATTCTATTAGGATCTAAAATTTTCTGACGGATCTATATTCATTTACATTTGCTTACATATATATATATATATATATATATATATATATATATATATATATATATACATATATAAAGTAGACATTGGAGTGAACACCTATTTATATACGCTCTATCTCTGATGTTGAACACTTTAACCCATAAATATAGTATACTTTAAACAATATTGACCAGGCTCAACATTATTTAACTTTGCCAATCAGATAAGAACTAGTGAGAAAAATAAATAATATATATATATATATATATATATATATATATATATGGTGTGGCTAGGTATTCTCATTATCCTTCTGTAGAACAACAATTCTTTTGGATCAAGTCTTCTTCAACTGTGAAGAATTTTTTTTTAAATTCAAGTTTTTTTATCATTAGTTATGGAAACTTTTAGCTCTGATTGAATACAGAATAGTGAAACCCTCTTTCACTAACTCAATAACGTCAAGGTAAGAGTTACTTTGAATTTAAAAAAATAATAATATTGTTTATAATTGTATTTAGCCTGAAAGTGAATTGTTACTGACACGTTTTATTTATAAAAAAAAAAAAAAAATTAATATTGTGATAAGTAAATTATATTCCACAGGATAGGAAGACTGATAAACAGTAAAAGACAGAGAAAAGAACTGAGAGTTAACCTTTTTATTAAAAGAATAGACAAAAAAAATCTTTTAAACTCTAAACACAAAATGGTCAAACTAATGTTACAAAGGAAAATTTGGTTAAAGACAAATACAGAAATCAGAAAAAAAATCGCCTAAGAATCAATACAGATATTGAAAACAATAATTTCATTTTAAAAAAAATTCTAGTAATTTAGAAATGAGCAAATTTTTTTTCAAATCTATAAAGCCCTGGTCTTCATAAAGATAAAAAGTACAAACCGATTTGGTATATCATGAGAAACTTTGGCTCCAGCTCCAACTAAAATCCTTAAGGAAGACACAGAAACTTGGCCCATCAGACATTTGCAAGCTGTAGAGTGAAGAGGAGTGAATCCACGGTTGTCCTGGCAATTAATATTGGCACCATACTCTATGAGAATGTTGGAGATTCTGTCTCTTTCTGTGTTGTTACCTAAAAAGAAAAAATCAAATCATAATTTTACAGAAAAATAAAACTGATTGTAAAAAATTGATTTTTTTTATGGCTTATCAACCCATTGCAGGTTATTTTAAGCCAGAAAATAATTTCAGATTGTAAGAATTTTTTTGAAGATAATAATTATTTTATTGATACAAGTCCTACTAATTAATCCATAGCTGAGAGCAGAAGAGGAGAATTCATATATTTCCCAAGGTAATTTTCAGGTAAGTGAATATAACAAACCTGACTGGAATTGGAACTTGACTCTCCAATTTTAAGCCATTAACCATTACTCCACCTGCACTTCCAAACTTACAACACATGGTATACCGAAGTGGTCACATCTAGGTATTTAACTTCAGCAATCAGATAAGAACCAGTGAGAAAAATAAATTAACACACACACACACATATATATATATATATATATATATATATATATATAAGGGAAATCTACGACAAAGTGAAAAAAGTTTTCATGTGACGCATTTCATTCTTTATGACTTCATTGAATTAAAGTGATGTTTATGTTGATGCAACTACACATGCACACAAAGGAGAGAGAATGCTGAGAATTTTAAATTAAAATATTTTTTTCTTTTATTAAATATGTTTTGGGTTTATAGTCTAGATGATTTTATTTAGTTTCTTTTTTTTTTTGTTAAATTTTGTTATTAAATATCCCACATTGTGATAATAGAAGATTTGTAAATTTACTGTGGATGATCTAGCGATTACAACACTCTCTATACATTTTTATCTTAGTAAATTGCTTTCTTTTAAATTAGAATAGAATATTTTTTTTTTTTTTTTTTTAAATCAGAGTTATGGTCAAACTCATTACAGTGAGCAATTAATTCATTGAGTGTATTGTTTTGTAAAAGATCCTTTTTGTGTTCATATAATCTTTTATTTAAATTCCTCGAGGTTTCACTTATGTATTCTTTGTGGCAATTATGACAGGTGATAAAGAAAATTTCTCCTTCGAATTTTAGCCAATTATTTTGTTTTGTATTAATTAAGTCTATTATTTTACAAGTAGCTGTAACAAATTTTATATTATGCTTAGATAAATTCTTATGATTGTGTAGTCACATCATCATAAATATTACTTTAGTCAATAAAGTTCTAAAGAACAAAACATGTCACACAAACAATTATTCACTTTCTCATAGATTTCCATCCACATGAGATATAAAAATGCTTTACATCACTTTCTCATATAAGATATGTCATTAGATGTTATATAGCAGGGGTCGGCAAACTTTTGCTAAATATGGGTCGAGTTAGTATTTTAAAATCATTTAGTGTACCAACAGCATACATATTTTTTTATACAAGTCAAGGTCAATATTCCTGTTCTACAATATATTTTATATAATAATATGTAGTGTATATACTTTAGTATATATTAAAATTAAAACAGCTAAATATCTTCTTTGTGCTGAAGTAATTATTGGTTTGAACAACATATGTATTTTTATACAAGTCAAGGTAAATATACCTGTTCTACAATATATTTTATATAGCAATATATAGTATATATACTTTAATACATATTAAAATTGAAACAGATAAATACCTTCTTTGCATTGTAGTAGTTATTGGTTTGGACTTTATGATGTCATTTGCGGTCACATGTGGCATGCATGCCATTGGAAATTGCCTGGCGTACCACATGTGGCATGCATGCCATTTGAAATGGCCTGGCATGCCACATGTGGCATGCATGCCATGGGTTGCCAACCCTTGCTATATAGGGCATGCATATACAGAATCGATATTCAATATGAAACAGAGAATAGGCATATTATATCACACAGATACACACTTTAATGAGAAAACGCTGCTTATATGGCATAAATTTAATAATTATGATATCTAATGAATTAAATGTTTTTTTTTTTATTCTGACATATTTTTCTTACTTTAAATGTTATTTTGAATAGACACTCTGTTTATTTTAAACAGTTTTATTTCATCTACCAGCCTAAACATACAAAAAAACTTCTGCAGAATTCAAGATAATCTGAATACGTAAAGTGTGCTTTAAAGGCAACTAGAACTTTGCATGATTGTGAAGCTCTTCATAGTCAGCCAGTCAAAGCATGCTAGATTAAATGGTAGTATGCAGGTTTGAAGTCTTCCATAGGGAGCATTTTCTTTAATGATTTTTCTAAAATATTCAGGCTGGTAGACAAAATAAAACAGTTTAAAATAAACAGAGAATCTACTCAAATATGGGTGTCTGCTAAAAGTCACATTTAAAATAATATAAATTATCATTGGCAGAACTCGTTGGCAAGTATTGGGGTGCTCATCGACATTTCCTTGTTTGTGAAGTGAATCTTATGTTGGATCTGAAGACCTCCCCAGCCACCACATAATAGGGTAAGAAGGTTTTCTTTGGACTCTCTTCATCTCTTCTATTTGTCTTCTTGTATTTTCAAAGCATGCTGCTCTTCTCCAATTAGTTCATTATTTACATATCATATTTATATTATCCTTTTTTTTTTACTTAAAATATAATATAAATATAATACACAAATGATGTAATCTGGAATAATGGATAGCAGCTCGGATTGAGGAATCTTAGAACCAAGTTCAAATTCCAATTGAATCCATTACATTCAGTTACGTGCTAATACCCTTGGGAAAGGTATGGATCCTCTTCTTCTCCATCCCTACCCACTAGCTATGTGTAAATAGCAGGACAGACCAGGTTCTAGAGCCTTGGATGACAATTGGTCTACCACAGAGAGAAATGACAAACCTACAACAAGGAAAAAAAATCTGCTTCATCAGTGATGTTTCAAACGATACATGAACGCCTAAGCGTGTATCATGCATGGCAAATAACTGACTGACAGTTATAAGTCATGAGGGGACTGGTATGAACCCTATTCATAAAGTACACTAAAATGAAATACAGCTAGTAGATAGAACATAGTGCATACTGAAAGACAAGTGTTTGTTCTATATATACTGACAGATTTTATTCAAGTCATAGTTTTTAAATAAAAGTTCTCAGGATATACTTATAATAAATATACCAATGTGAATTTAAAATTTTATGTTTTTATTAGAATTATTTACAATAACTTAGTGTTGTAAGGGTTTATTAAGCTACTTGAGGATTCTTTATCATATTGAAAATAAACATATATAATTCTTCTTTTTCTATGTGATGTCCCTTCAAGACATTGGCAATTCTGTCCTTTGTAAGCTATTAATAAATTCTGACTTCTTTTTTTTATCTCTCCTAAGCCATTCTGACATTCATTTACTCAAGCTCACTAAGTAGGTTATGCATTGTCTATCCTTCTTGCAAGTATTAACTTTTCTAAGCCCTCTTTCCTCATTATGTGCCCTGGAAATTTCAACTATTTCTTTTTGTTACTAAGTATAAATGTCCTTTTTGTTTCCATTTTCTCAAAAACTTTTTCATTGTTCACATGTTTCATCCACGATATTCTCAGCATCCTTCTGTAGAAGCACATTTCTGTTGCTTAAGGTCTCTTCTTCATCTGTGAGTGGGTTGTTCAGCATTCATTGCCATATAGGAGGTCTGATATTACATAACAGTTTAGTACACTTTATTTAGTTTCAAATGAAATTTTCTCCATCTCTCATATATATATATAAGTGGACACTGAGGTCAAAAGTAAGTGGCCTGGAGATTGTGTTGAAGCATAAATGAAACAGACTGTCAACACTTGATGTTAACCTCAGTGTCTATATATATATAAAATGGGCACATGTCTGAGTAGTTAGAATGTTCCTTTACTTTCTAAACATGAGACCTGGCTTTGAATCTCACCATGGTCAATTTGGCAGGAAGGTGACTTCTTGATGTTATCAGTCTTGTGTAGAGTGATCCCAACGTGCACCATCTTTGAAAAGTGTCTGAAAACCACACCATGAGTTGATCTAAGTCATGTGAGTGAAATTGGGTAGATGCTTTGAATATACGCTCTTTAGCACTAGAGGGCATCGTCATTGATGTTCTGAATTGGATCATTGGGCAGTTTCAGGTATTTCAAACATCGTACTACCCTCACCAAGTCGACCCCATCAGAACTGATCAGTCACTGATGCGCCCCCATGCTAAATTAACAGCCTGCAGACACTGACTTATATTAGGCAAACCATAACCCACTATCAAGCATTTGATTGGAAGTTGACCAACAGCCAATCACAATGGTGTGAGCTCTATTTAAGTTGTTTACAGGGGAATTTTTCTTTTCTTTTTTTATGTGGATACCCTATCATTGGATACTTGGAAGGTAATTATATGTTTTCTGGTTTTTTGGAAAGTGCCTGAAAACCATACCATGAGTTGATCTAAGCCATGTGAGTGAAATTGAGTAGACAGAACTCTTTGGGGAACTGTTGATGGTTATGCTAGCACCAAGTCATCATGGTAACCAAGGATTTGAGCATGTTGGCCTTGTTCAGACTGTTGATCACACGCTCTATCCCTGTAACTGTAATTTTTCAGACATGCCTGTGTCCTTTTTCAACAAGACAAGGAATAAACAGAGACTTACTCTTCCAGGGAGAATGTTGTTGTTGGTTAGAGGGCTCGCCATGGAAACTATATTCTCTAAGTAAACCCAAAAGGACACAGGCATGTACAAAGCTTCAGTTTAATCAAAAGCCTAATATATAATAAATATCCAATTATTATTATTGCCAATATTGTTATCATTTGGTTGTCTTTTTATTCCTCAAATTTCATTAACTGGCCTATTAAATCTACATAATTATAAGAAGCATACATAGACCATCTTTCATTTTAATTATATATAAGGAAACTATCCACTATATCAATGGTTCCCAACATTTTTTTAGTTCATGGCCCACTTCAAACCCAAAATTTTTCTGTGGACTATTTTAACTTTATTGGATATATTCTATGTCTATTTATTGGACACACATAATTTAAAAATCATCTAAAATATTTTGCATCTCCAATGAAACAATTATTT